AGTCTGTGAAATTTGTGTACAATCTGTACAATGTCAGTAGAAAACACACACACACACATACTCCAACAAAAACATAACCTCCTCGGTGGACGTAAAAATAATAATAGTAATGATAGAGGTTAATGATAGACATTAATCTTGGGAATACAACAAAATTAGAATCTGGTAAATTTAACTGCCCCACGGTCCACGGAGGCTCACGTGATTGTTTCCACATCAACCCCAGCTGACCACATTCCTCTCTTTTTTCTTTCCCCTCTTCTTCTTTTCCCTCTTTTCCTCCATCTGCTCTGGGATTAGTCAGTGTCATGTGTTTTTTTTAGAGTTATTGCTGTTTTAATATTTCTATTTTTATTTTTGTTTTCTGTTTTACGAGATGTAACCCACCCAGAATAGTGCTGTGACACAAATAGGAGTGGGATATAAAACAAAGTAATTTTTTAAAACTTTATTGAACAATTTTGGGGATAAAAGATGGTTCAGTTGGTTGTAGCACAATAGTCTTGGTGTAGCATGAAAGAGTGAATATAACTGCCATCCGATGCATACCTTACAATTCTTAAAGAGTAATCAAGGATTGCCAAGCTGAGTTGGGTATGGCTGCAGTAGTTAGACCACTAGGGGAACCCATCAGCATTCCTGGGGTCAGGGCTGTGGCAACTCCCCTGAACAGGGCATGCCCCTTCCAGCCCCCGCCTCCAACTCCACAATTCCATCCAGAAATCTACAACTTGGGATAGGGCCACAGCCCATCTCCTTCACCTGGTATCCACTTCTATGTGCAACCACCACCTCCTTTCAATTAATTTGGCCATTGAATTATCTCCACTGCACATAAGGGAGGTAGCCTAGCTTAGGTGGGGTGGGTAGATAATGCTTTTTGTCATTCTTCTTGCTGTCTCGCCCATTTCTTTCTCCTCCATACTCTTGTAGAGAAGTTCTAATCCACTGACAGTTTTAGTCCTTATTTTGGTGTGAGAAATCTCTCTCTCTTATTCAATCACACACACACACTAGACAATGCATAAAAATGAGTGTATGAAGCATGACAAGTCCACATTAAATATAAAACATGGAAGCATCCCTTGGAGACTCTGTTTTTAACCTGGAAGATGAATAGCTTCATTTAAAAATCTGTCTTCTTCAACTTGAGATCACTTTGGCCAGTGGTCATTATGGCAACATGTTTCATAAGTTAATTACACATTGCATAAAGAAATGCTTCTTTCTGGTTCTCTGGATATTCAATCTTGCTTGTTTTAGTGGTTGGCCTTCCCATATTGGCACTTTGAATGATATATGTAGTAGTCTTTCTGCAATCCATTCCATTCATAATGTTATTAACTGTTTCATATGGAATCTCCTTTTAGCCATCTATGCTTTGAACAAACAAGTTCCAACCCCTGATGTCTTTCCTCAAGCCCATAGAGTTTAGAGCTTGCAGTTCATGTTAGTTATCCCTTCTCTATATTTTGCCCTTGGAAATAATGAGTTGTAAATAATGAGTTGCTTGTACCTGATTCCTTTTTACAATAACTGAGAAGAATGTTTGTAAAATAATGGATTATAACTTCACTCCTAGTGCAGTGTAACTACACAACTTTACTTTGATAATCAAACAGAGTATGCAGCCTTCCCACTTAAGTGTGTGTTTCACCATCTTAAAGCATTTTTTTTTTTGGTAAAAGTAGCTTAAAGTAAACATTTTACTTACTTCTAAATAAGACATTACTTTTAAAATGGGCAAAAGATTAATATACAATTACTTGGGGAGACCTTCAGGCTATAACAGTAAATAATTAATTTAGAAGTAACTTTCTAAGCTCTGATTGTACTGTCATGGTCATATTTTTTCTGAGATGAGACCATACGTTTTATAAAATTGGACTGTCAGAACTATGTTGTTGTTTAGTCGTTAAGTCGTGTCCGACTCTTCGTGACCCCATGGAGTAGAGCACGCCAGGCCCTCCTGTCTTCCACTGCTTCCCAGAGTTGGGTCAAATTTATGTTTGTAGCTTTGATCACACTGTCCATCCATCTCGTCCTCTGTCGGCCCCATCTCCTCTTGCCTTCACACTTTCCTAACATCAGCATCTTTTCCAGGGAGTCTTCTCTTCTCATGAGATGGCCAAAGTATTAGAACCTCAGCTTCAGGAGCTGTCCTTCCAGTGAGCACTCAGGCTTGATTTCCTTTAGAAATCCTTTAAGGTTTGTTCCCCTTACAGTCCAGGGGACTCTCAAGAGTCTCCTCCAGCACCACAATTCAAAAGCATCAGTTCTTCGGCAGTCAGCCTTCTTTGTGGTCCAGCTTTCACTTCTATACATTGCTACTGGAAAAACCATAGCTTTGACTATGTGTACCTTTATTGGCAAGGTGAGGTCTCTACTTTTTAAGATGCTGTCTAGGTTTCTCATTGCTTTCCTCCCAGGAAGCAGGCGTCTTTCAGGGCTGCTGTCACCCTCTGCAGTGATCATGGAGCCCAAGAAAGTAAAATCTGTCACTGCCTCCATATTTTCTCCTTCTATTTGCCAGGAGGCGATGGGTTTTTTTAATGTTGAGATTCAGACCATTTTTTGCGCTCTCCTCTTTCACCCTCATTAAGAGGTTCTTTAATTCCTCCTCTCTTTCTGCCATCAGAGTGGTATCATTTGTATATCTGAGGTTGCTGGTATTTCTTCCGGCAATCTTAATTCCGGCTTGGATTTCATCCAATCCTAACTTTTGCATGATGTATTCTGCATATAAGTTAAATAAGCAGGTGAACAATATATAGTCTTCTCGTACTCCTTTCCCAATTTTAAACCAATCAGTTCTTCCATATCCAGTTCTAACTGTTGCTTTTACACACACACACACACACACACACACACACACACACACACACACACTGCTAAATGTGACCACTGTGCTCGTTTGTAAAATGGAATTATTATGCTTGCCAGTTTATTTCCAATCACTTCCCTCTTTTCCTAATATTAAATTGATTATTGTGCCCCTCGCCACTGCTGCACCTCACTGAGCTGATATTTTCAGTTAGCCACCCACTACAGCCCCAATATTTCTTTCCTAATTAGGTACAGCCAATTTAGACTTCACTGCCGTATATGTCAGGTTAGGCATTTCTGCGCCCTCGCCAATGCCTCACTTGGTGCTTACTTATTGTGGAGCTCATTTGCTGTTCTGTTGCCCATCACCCCATTTAGACAGTGACAGTGTGCATGGAGTTTTTACCATCATGAATAAATGCAATATCCCTGCAGTGGAAGTGGCACCTTGAGCAAAGCTCACTCTCCTGGAACCATAAATTACTACTCCACATGTACCATGCAGTATTGATATGATAATAGTAACCCTCTGGGACACCAGGCTTCAGGAGAAGTAGGAAAAATCCATGACCTTCAGTATCTGACCGAACAACCATGACAGGAGTTTTTCCTTATCACCTGCATTACAACAACCTTACAGAAATTCCTAATCGTCTCCTCTATTCAGTTGTCCAGATAAAAGCTGTATTTATGTTTTAGTAACAAACACAGCAAACACTTTCCTTATGAAAACAGCAGACTGCAGTGCAATATCTCATTAGGTTTCAGTGTAAGAACCAAGTATCAGCATAATGAGAAATCAATTGTAATCTTATGACTGACCAGCAGGTCTCCTTGTATTGAAGTAATTATGCTATGTAAACTTTACAAGAAGTTTCTTTTTTTTATCAAGGAGCTCCAATAATGTTTGCTTATTGATGATATGTCTTCAGCAATAAACAATGCATTTAAGTCTCCCTGGTTGAGCTCTGGGGAAGTATAGCTGTTTTGCTAATGGAGGAAATGTCTAACAACTTCCTAAATCAATTAACTTGAAAGGCACAGATATAGAAGCATGAGGGTAAAAGCACGGACACACAGTCTTATACCATGTAATGCTTGCTAGAATACACATGAGGGATAGCATTCCAAGACATTCATTACAACCCTTTTGGTGTGCAATTTGGCTGATTCCCTACATATACGAATGCTACTTCCATAAACATTTTATGGGGCCTGCAACCTAATGTTGCAGTATAGAGTGCTAGTGTTCAGGATTTGAAGTATTTTGTTCCATGCTAAGACTAAGACCACAGTTTTCCTGGACTGACAGAAAGCCTCATCTAGACTATGAACTGAGACTGTTAGAATCTGAAACCTGCATAAAATCATCCACATAAAAAAGGACAAGGGAAGGATTCTAATTAGGACTCAAGGGAGACCATCAGTCCATCTGGTTCAGTATTGTCAATACCATCCTACTACCGGGAGTATCCAGTCACTGAGCCTGAGATTTTCTTCCACACAAAATGAATGCTCCATCATGGTGCTGTAGCTGTGCTTCAGCTGCATTAGATTTGGGGCGTTTTTGGTACTTTAATTGCTTTTTTAAAATGGATGAATTCCTGACATAGTTGTGGCTTGGATTAGCAGAAAGAGGTATGATTCAAAGGGGGAAAATAGAAGAGGTGTGTGTGTGTGTGTGTGTGTGAGAGAGAGAGAGAGAGAGAGAGAGAGAGAGAGAAGGATGAACCAGTTGCCCTTGAATATTTCCTGGGAGTATATTCAGTGTTTGAAAAGTAGAATCAAGATAAATTATTCAGCAAAACTATTATATTTAAGAGTAAGATGGGTCTCTTAAAGCAATGTGGGAAACTGCGTTACAGCAAACTGGAGACAGGAATTTCATCCACTGGAGTCAGATCTAAAGAAGAATAAAGTCTGTGTAAAAAAAAAATAAGATGGACAGTGTTGAGGAGGCAATAGAAAGAAAGTGGGGGACAGAGCAATATTTGTAGACTAAAATGATGGGGGGAAATCATAGACTAACATGAAACACACAGTAGGCAAAATCCTGTTGATTAAAGTCACACTAGCATAAACTGGATCTGCTGCTGGAAATATTTAATTTAAAAAAACCTGAAGGCTTCCTATCCCTGTCCCTCCCCCTTTCAGGTTCTGGGGCTCTCTCTTACCTTGGGAAAGCTTTTGGGAACCTTGGAAAGTGAGTTGGGGGAGCCTTTTCCAAAAATTCCACAAGCTCGCCAGTGGCAGTCCCAGATAGCTCAGTGGTTTAGGTCTCTGGCTATAGAGCCAGAGGTTAGGAGTTCGATTCCTCACTGGGCCACCTTGACAGGGGTGGACTTTAAGATCCATTGGGTCCCTTCCAGGTCTTCAATATCAATGCCATATGCTGGAGTTGCTCAATGCACAGGTTGCTTGGAAAGAAAGAAAGAATTTCGCAAAAACGCAGCTTCTCTTGTCAGGATGCTGAAAATCACATGAGGAAGGAAGTTGTCAAGGCTCGCATTGTCCCCGCTTCACAGCCATTAAAAGCACAAAGTGTCTAGCAACCCAAATAGAACAAGTGTAACTCCCATGGTTTATTTTGTGCAGCCCAGTGGGCAGGGAAGTCTTTAGAAAGGAGCGGTGAGTGTAAAATGTTCAGTTCAGAAAGAGAAAGAGATGGAAAGGAAAGGAGCGTCTGTTCCCTTTGGAACAGGAATTCGGCCTTTATCACTTTGATTTATGTAGTAAAATTTCAGTGCCTGTGTGCCAGCAGGAGCAATGAAAGGAAAGTCCTTGGAGTGATGATGTATTTATATGTTCGGGCCTTAAAGATTTTACCTCTACAACTGCATTTTTTTAAAAAAGCCTTGGATTCTCATACCTATACTGTATAGTTTGAGATACTGTACAGTGATGTTCTAAGATTTAATTCCTGATACATTTTGGATTAAAGAGATGATATAGGACTTTTATTTTTCTTCAGGCAGTTCCTGATGCATGAAACTCAGAGGCATATATTTTTGCTGCATCCGAGTTTGCCTAAGTTCATACTATTGTTGCTGCTGCTTTTGTTACCGGATTTAAAACTTAAGATTTCTGCAAAGTTCATTGCGTTTGCAATATTTGTTTTAAAAGACCACCCCATAGAATGAAGCGGGCTGTACTCAAGGATGGGGTAGCACACCAGCAGTAGACTACAGACTACGTACAAGATTAATCCTCCAACTCTGCCACATCTCTTTTTTGCATAGGTTCTCTCAGCTTGTCATATCTGTCCTTGGAATGGATAGTAAGTTGCAGGGTCTATGGCATACAGAAGAAATAATTAGATTAAAAAAAATAAATAATAAGAATGATAGTGACAAATTCATTACAATGCATTCTGCCAAGCTGAGAAATATCTTAAGAACAGAATGAGGAAATCATCATTTCTTCATATCTGGCTTTTACCTGAAAGAGGAAGCCCAAGGCAGCTAACAACATGATAGAAAAGCAAATACCAGTCCCCAAACAAGACATAATTTGTTGTAAACTGTGATAAATTATTGCTTTTTCATTTTCAGAATTTCAAAATATATCTATTTGTTACTCAGTGTTCTCCTGACAGCAAAAAAGCTCAACAGGATGCTGGTCTAGTGTTCGTTTAAAATTTATGTTACTGGAACATGTAATATTTAAGACAGGAGATGAAATGGTCTAAGCATGTCTCAAAGTGATGGGCTTGGGGCATCTTCTAAATTTGGCATAGCTTGTTAAATGTGTCCTAAGTTTTGTCATCATTTTTTAAAGTATTTATGACAACCTCAAGAGGTGGAAGATTCTCATATCTATGACCAAAAATAAAACCATTAAGGCAGAACACTGCAGTTCTCCAACCCTCTTCTGGTATACAGTGGGATGATGAAACAGTTTTATTCTCCTGTGAGACCCTCAACATGTCTATTTCTGCCTATTAGCTACTGATAGAATTTTAAATTCACAGTAAAACAGAAATGCACAGTATTTCTCAAAAATTCATATTTAGTTGCATTTCTGAATCCCAGTGTTTCTAAGGTTCCAATCATCTGCAAATATTTTACAATATAACATTTATAGAATAATTCTTAAAAGAAAACCGAGGGCAGATCTTAAATGCTGAAACATGTTAATATAATTTGATATAAAATAATAATTTGTTATTATTATAACAATTATGTTGGCAATCATTTGCCCACTTCCCTCATATTAGCCCTACTAGATTCAGTGAGACTTACTCTGCAGACTATCATCATCATAGGCATCCTTCAGCCTTGAGAGACTATGGTAACATGCTCTGTATCGAGAAGTGTCCTCTCCAGAGCATGAAGCCTGGGTAAAGTGGTATGGAGGATAGGCTGTTACCCAAGCAGCAAATCCCCCCTCTCCACATTGCTGAAATGGTCCAATGGAAAGGCAAGAGCCAATACAACTGGTTCCAGCAACGTCGCAGGAGATGGCAGAAACTGCCTTCTGGACTCCAGCTCCAGATTTTCAAGGTTAACTCCTGAAGCCTTTTCCATCAGTGGATATAGCCACAAGGCAGTGGAGGTTTGAAATTAGAGTTTTCCTTCTCCTAGATGGGCTGCCTTCCATGGCTGACAAGCCCCACTTACCCAGCCTCTGCAGAGTATAATTGCACTGTTATTATTATAGTTTATTTCTGCGTACCTTGACATTGGCTATGTTTAGCTCTTGTTTGCTTTTAAATTTTGGTTTGGCAGTTGATGGTTCTCAGCCTCTGGTGTCTTCTTCGAATCCAGCAGTCACTCTGTGTCTGACCATAACAGAAACAAAAGCTCACTTTCTCCTTAAAGAAAAAAAAAGGATGGTAGGTTTAGTGCCATTCCGTCATATAGGCTGGTGGGCAGCAGGAGCAGGGGAATAGGATTAGGCAGGTAAGTAGGTCAATTGACAATGACACAGACAAATTCCAGAAGCAATGTTGAAACATTCCATTTCTTTCTTTACAGTTTCCAGTCTACCTTGATTCATACTTCTCACATTCCATGTTCCAGTTGTGTGTTGCACAGCATCAGACTTTCCTTTCACATCTGTGCATGTTAATCACTAGAGACCCTTTCAACTTTAATTAGCAGTGTCATTAGCAACTATGTGATTCGTACTTGTTGTTTGTTCTTCCCCAGTAGCTGACTGAATACTTTTAGACATGGGAGCCTCATCTTCCAACACTATCTCCTTTTTCATTTTAGACTTTGTCATCACAGGATTTTCAAGATAAGAAAGGTTTAGCAGTGGTTTATCATTGCCTTCTTCTCTGCTATACTAACAAAAGTTAACCTGAGTGTCACTTGCTGTTGTCTGTGAAAGATCATCTGCCAGCATCACCTTCAGCTACTGCTACCTCCCAGTAGTTGCCCTCCAGATGTTTCTCCATTGCAACTGTCAATTCTCTTCTGCTGATGTGGTCTTCATTACTCCTGAAGAGGGCGGATGCATCAGAGGTGAATGTTCCAGCATGGGTCACCCTGTTAGGAGTTCAGGCTTGTAAGGGAGTCTAGTCTCCTGGTGGCATTGTTGTCAACTTCTCTAACACACTCAAACCCTCTCACCACATGAAGTTGTGTCTCCAAGAAGGGTAAACTACTCTTTGACTATTTCATACCTGGAAAACCCTCTTCAAGTTCCCACTGGTCAAAAGTGACTTGATGGCACATTTTTAGGCATCCTTCAGTCTCGAGAGACTATGGTAACGTGCTCTGTATGGAGGATTTGGAACAGCATCTACTGTGGCTAAGAAGGCTGATTCGAGAGTGACAAACCCCTCCACACTGAAGACAAATACAATCTGTCCTCTGTCCAGCTCCCTGATTTTGCTGGTTTCGGGACCGCCTCTTTGCCTTGGCCTGCTGGACAAGTGTCTCTTCAAAATGGGAGAGGCCATGCTGCACTGCCTGCCTCCAGGCTGAACGCTCAGATGTCAAGGTTTCCCATCTGTGCTTAAAATAGCATTCATCTTTTTCTCTTTTTCATTATTCTGTAAAAGCTTCTACTGTACAATAGATTGTTTTTTTCATTTGTTTAATACAGGTTTCCACACCTATTTTGTGGTATTTCTTTGTTAATTCACATTATTGATAAATATAACTCAAGCCGCAAAATAAAAATACACTCCATTTTTTTCTGTTGTCCCTCTGTTTCACATAACATAAGCTTATTGTACTGTTTGCTTTTTCACTACAAAAACTGACACAAAATTGAAAAAGCTGCTTCTGCCATGTTATCTCATCAGTTACTTGTACGAAAACAGTTGGCTGTTTTGTTAAAAAAAACAGCTGTAGTTTTTCAATAATACTTTTACTTTTAATACACCTTTCTGAGGCATCTTTTTGTTTGCTTTTTCACTACAAACACTGACACAAAATTGAATAAGCTGCTCCTGCCATGTTATCTCAGCAGTTACTTCTTGTACCCAAACAATTAGCTGTTTTGTTAAAAAAGAACCAGCTGTAGTTTTTCAATAATACTTTCACTTTTAATACACCTTTCTGAGGCATCTTTTAAAAGACTGTTTTCATTTTAGGGCAACGCCTCTGCACTGCATAATTTCAATTATTTGAACTCTAACAGAGAATTACATATTGAGCTGGGGTCTATTGTATTTTAATGTGAGAAACTGATAAACTAGGTTACTGAGTGGCCAAGATCCTGCGTTGACCAATCAGCCATCTGCCATAAACACCACCAGAAAAGCTATCGGGATAATATACCTAAAATGACTGGGTTTCCAAATATATAATTGTTAAATTCGACATAGCACTCAGGAAGCAAAAAAGACTTCAGGGGCAAAATATTACAGTTGGAGGTTTTGTTCTTCATTCTTTTTTTGTAGGGAAAATGTATGTCATGATTTTTTTAGGGGAGCTGAAAAACAAGGTGAGGACATGTATAAGTAAACTTTCCAAAGAAATGTCAGCAAGATGGGAAAATGATTCTTTTTCCTTAGAGGTCTGCTTACTCATGTATTGATAACTCAGAAGTTATCAGCAAATTGCCACAACCTGTTTTAAAAGGTTTTAGAATCAATTCATTAATCATGTGGGGAGAAATATATTTTTTCTTCCCAAAATACCTATCACAGCCTAAATATGCATGAATGTTTGCTTACAAAATTAGTGAATTTACTAAATTATCACAAGCAACACTTCAGATGCATAATGTGGAAGAAATCCATTTTCTTCTCCCCAAACCACTTATTAAAACCTAAATGTTCAGTAATGTTAGCTTATCGAATTAGTGAATTCAGTAATTTATCTGAGCAACATTGTTCTTTGCATTTAAATGATGCAGCATAACTGCTTTATAGTTCTATGTAGCTCCG